ACTGCTATCTAAAGGTAAGTAACACAGAGAAGGAGGCAGAATTCAAATTTGGACCTACCTGTCCAAATCCTATGTCATTTCTCTTACAGTTTTGTTTCTGGGTTAAAGAACATCCCCTCCAAATTTATACCCTTCTCAGAAACTCTCAATGAGAACTTACTTGGAAATAAAGTCTTAGTTAGGATGAGGACATACTGGGATAAAGTGTATCCCAAATCCTATATGACCCGGCAACAGACCCTGTGAAGACACAGACCCTGTGTTCATTGAGATGGAGGTGGATACTAAAGTGATCTATTTACAACAAAAGATACCAAGTATTGCCAGCAGACTCCAGGAACTACCAGAGGCAAGGAAGGATTCTCCTCCAGAGCATTTGGAGTAAGTATGGTCCTGCTGACACCTTGATTTCAGACTTCCAGCCTCCACAGCTGTGAGACAATAAATTATTTTTAAGTTATCCAGTTCTTAGCAAATGAGTAGAAGTCTTTCCCATGGCATAGAAGAAGAGGAGTGACTTAAAAACATGATAGTTCCCAGGAGTAATCCTGTTAAAAGTTTAGACTTACAGGGCAAACTCAAGGTAGAGGATGCTGAAAGGAATGCCCATTTGCTTGGCATTTACTCATGTTGGGCTCTGTACTGGATACTTTCCATACAGGATCTTGATCATCTCCCAGTGAAGTATAGCCATTCCATCTCACAAATAACAAAACTGTTGTGCAGAGATTTGCCCCTAAGCTCATTTCCCCCTGCCCCCGGGTACTGTGCAAGGAGCAAACTCATGCCCCAGTTTGAGTCAAGATGTATGTTACTTCCCTTCTCTGAGGCTCACTTCCCTCATCTAGAAATAGGAATAACTGTATTCACCTTTCAGGTGGCTGAGACAACGAAGTGAGTTTGTACCTTCATTCACCATGCATTTACTGAAAAGCTTCTCTGTGTCAGTCCCTCCTCTGGGCCTTGGAAACTTTATCAGTGGACAGTATTGCCTAAGAGCCAAATTCCCATCAGATGCTCGGCAGAGCCCACACATACTAAGGAGGAGAACATAGGCTAGAATAGGATGGTGTGGGAACTGGTTTGGCCTGTAAGATGTGGCCTCACTTTGACTATTCCCAGATGCCTTCCCCGAGCTAACTGAATACTATGCCTTAGGCATGATTGTGGAAGCTATGGAAAGGGCCTTAGTTCTCTTTGCCATTTTGCCCGACTTCCCAGTCAGCCTCACCTACTTCTGGATACTGTCCTTCCTGGGCAGGGCCTGGGCCTGATCTGGAGTTGCTCCTAGCTGTCCTGATATCCCCTCTTGTTTCTGCAGGCACTCTCCACTCACCGTCCCTGGAGCCATCTTCCAGGCACCACTCTTCTCCCTACTTCCACGGATGGCCCAGACAAGACAGCACCCTTGTACTCTTTCTTCTTGACAATGGTAGCATTAACTATCAGTTGGGTTCTGCTCAGCAGAGACATGGTGGGATTCTTGATAGCTACGTTGTTTAGGGAGTGTCTTCTCAGGACCCCCAGGAAGGATCAAGCTTAGTTAGCTTGGTCATAGTTTGGCACCGCCTCTTCCTCCCAGATTTAGGCTTGTCCGTGAAGGGAAGCAGACCCTCTCTGCTTTCACAGCAGGATTGTGGGGATAAGTATCAGGGCAATGCTGGCAAAGCCTGTGCAAGTGGCATCGGCCAACCCGGATTGTTGACTGCCTTCCAGGTGGGGTCCGGATTCTGGATGATAGGATATGGAGCAGTTACTCATGTCAGACCTCAGAGCAGCCTGTCCTCCTGTCCTCACTTGCCCTGAGTGAGCTGGGAGAGCTGGCACAGAGCACTGGGACAAGGGCTTTGGCCAGCCCTGACAGCTCAGCAGTGGCAACAGCAGTGGTGGCAAGGGCTATTCTGAGGCTGGGAGGGTCAGAGAGTTGGGAGGGAAATAGGGAAAGCAGTAAGGAGGAACAGTCCCTGAAAACTAAGGGAGAGTCCTTGTGGCTTTGATGGGGGTATCAACAGGGGCGCATGCATGGGACAACTGTTTGTTTGCTTGTCACGGGGAGGTGTGGGCTAGCCAGCAGAGGTACAGAGGAACCGAGGTCATTTAGGTGCTTGAGTACAAGTTTTATGATCCACATAGGAGTCATGTGAGAAAGCACACATGTGATTGGGCACACTGTGTGAATGTTTAGGAAGGAGTGGAAGGGTAAGCAAGTGGATGCTTACTGGGGAGCAGGAATAAATGTTGGGGTGAGTGGCAAGGAGCAGACACAGAAGCTGGAGAGTACTGGGAGGGGGGAGGGAGTGTAGGAGCCAGTGGTGAAGGAAATCGGAAAGTATATTGTTGTCAAGCGTAGGGAACATGGCAAGTGTATATATGTGAGTGACAGTGGATATGAGTAGGTGGTAGGAAGAGGCTAGAGTGTGTGAGCTGAACAAAGTAGGGAGAGAAGACACAAATGAATAGTGATATGAACCAGCTAGCATTTATGGAGCACTTCCTCTGAACCTGGTGCTGCCATTCAGAATCTTGTTCCATCCTTCAAATGCCCTGTGAAGGCAGAGCTATCGTCACCTGACCATACAGCAGGAAACAGTGGCTTTGAGCAGCTAAGCAACTTTCCCGTACTCTTCATCACTGTTAGACAGCCTCATGATGGAAGTGTGAGCAGGGACCAAGTTGTGAGTAAAAAAGAAGGTCAGTACACATTAATGGGTGTGTTCAGAGCATGTGGTGGGGCCTGAGTGTGCCACACAGGAGCCCCAGAGGAGAGCCCAGGCAACAGCTGTGGACATGGGCAGAGCACAGGCCAAGCAGAGCCTGAGTCAGCCTCTGGCACCTCTGCCAACTTGGTCCTAGTCCTGTGGTCACAACCTGTTAGTGCTCTTTGGCTCTGGTATGGACTCCAGCAAGTTCCCATGTCATGCTCGGAGCTAGGCCTGACCTTGAGATTGGCAAAAGGTTTGCTACACTTCCAGCATACCCAACAGGCAGCCCCCAGTGAGGGCTCCCCAGGCTGGGAGAATATCTGAGCTGAGGGAGGGGGTCCAGTAGTAATTTTAGCCCCTTGTGGTTCTAAACAGAACCACCTGGAGGGTGTGCATGTGTAGGGGGTAGGCAGCAGTTCCCATGCCCACCCTTGCCTTTGGGATGTGACTCAGGCATATGCCATGTCAGGCATCTGCAAGCTAGGCATGTTCACATTCTGGGGGGCAAGTTGGGGGCCCTCCAGCCCCATCCAACTCTTACTCTTGGCTCTATTCCTTAAGTCCTAAACTGGAAAGAAGGATGTTTTGAGAGAGGAGAGTGTCTCCTTTGGCAGGGAGATGGACTAAAGCCCTCCCACTGGCCAGAGAACTAGGCATCTCCAGCTCCTCCAGGAGTCCGGTAGTGGCTAGGAGAGGCTTATGAGCTTGAGATGCTAGTCCTGGCCACGCTTTCTCACTCTGGACCTCAGTTTCTTGATTGGCAAAACAGGAATATTGTGCTAAACGGACACAAGATGTTGTTGGCAGGGCAGCAAATGTTTTGGGCAAGCAAAGAACAGAGAGCTGTGGAAGCTGGGGTTAGAGAAACTATCAGCTTGAACTGATGGCATTTGAACCGAGTGCTGAGGAGTGGACTACTACAATGAGGGTCTCAAGATAGGCCTAGGGCATACCTAGAACAAAGGGTGATAGATGCTGTGGTGGCTGGAAACGTAGCTTAACACTCTGTGGGGTGAGGTAATGGACTGCCCAGTCACTCAGCTAGTGCCTTCCTTCTGAGGTCATGTGATGATCTGATTAACATCTGAGTCTTCAGCTTACCTATACTGTAGGGACCTCATTTGTCTCAGTTGCTGCCCTTGCCATAGTGCCCTGGACAACCCTAGGTACATCAAACATACTCAATAAACGAGGAAGCTTTTCTCCAAACACCCTGAACTTTTGGGTGAACACTTTTTTTTTTCAATAGCACCCATGAAAGCTCCCACAGACTCTTAAGACAGTGGTTTGCAAAGAATGGTCGGGCTGTGCATTACCTGGGAGCTTGTTAGAAATACAGTCTTTCCCCAAACCAGACCGATCAGAGCAGAAAATTCAGAGACTGAGGCCCAGTGATCTGTCTTAACAAGCACCAGGATAATTCTGCTACACATTGAACTTTGAGAACCAAACCTCTAAACTGTGCCCACAGGCACCACAAAGACCCCATTTGCAGATGGAGAAGTCAGGATTATGGCAAAGATTGGCTCAGAACCCAGATATTCTCAGATCATTCCTTTTTCCTAGACCAGTCCGGGCCACAAAGGAGAAAGGAGTGTCAGATCATCTTGGTCAGGTTGTTAGAAAGACGACTTGGAAACGTCAGGGGTCTAGAAGCAGAGGGCGGGGCATTCCTCCGGGAGGAGGCAGAAGGCGGGACCGGTGCTCTGAGTCCCGCCCCATTCCCGTTGCCCCGGGAAACCCCGGGTTGTAACAATAACCTGCTGACGCGCTTCTGGGAGGGATCCTTTCGAGCCAGTGGGTGGAACGCTCCTGAAGCGGACCAATGGGAGGACTTGGGATCCGCCTCCACAGAACCCCCTCCCCGAGAGCCGGGACGGAGGCGGGGTCGCGCCCGCCTCTTCTCCCCCGCTCAGTAGGCGGCGCTGTGGCGCACAGGGGCTTAGGCTGGGTCGCCCCGAGCTGGGAGCTCCGCGCCCTCGTACCCGTTTGCTGTCTAAAGCTCTCGGCCGACCGAGGATTCCGCGGCCCGGGGCGAGCTCGCCCCGCCCCCTCCCGCGCCGGGCCCGCCCCCCTCCCTGTCCCCCGCCCATCCCGAGGTGCAGCCGGCGCTGAGCGCGGCAGGCGCGGGAGCTGGCGCTGGAGCCGAAGCGGCGGCGGCATTCACCGGGCGGCGGCGGCGGCGGCGCGGGCTCCGGCACGGGCTCGGGCTCCGGCATGGTGCAATCCGGCCTCGTCCCGGGAGAGCAGGGCCCGCACGCGGGACCGGCGCCCGGGGAGCGGCGGCAGCGGCGGTGGCGGTGGTGGCTGCAGGCGCAGGCAGGCGGCAGGTGCTAGAAGCCAGGCTGGGCGAGGTGTGCACCCGCTGGGTTCCCGGGCCGCCGCCCCCTCACTGCCGGGTTCTTTCGCTCTCTCCGTGCTCCCCGGCGCGTCCAGCCCCTGGCCTTAGCGCCCCGGCTCATGGCGCCCCGCGGTTGAGCCGGCGCCGCCAGGGACCCCTCCCGTGGGCCTCCCCGGGGCGCGCAGATCCCGGAGCCGCCCGCCCACCCTCCTCGGAGTCTCCCTCCCCTCCTCGCCCGAGCCGGGCGGGACCATGGCTGCGAAGCTTCGAGCGCATCAGGTGGACGTGGACCCGGACTTCGCGCCGCAGAGCCGGCCGCGCTCGTGTACCTGGCCCCTGCCGCAGCCCGACTTGGCGGGCGACGAGGACGGAGCGCTGGGCGCTGGGGTGGCCGAGGGCGCCGAAGACTGCGGGCCGGAACGCCGGGCGACGGCCCCCTCGATGGCCCCAGCGCCGCCGCTGGGCGCGGAGGTCGGACCGCTGCGGAAAGCCAAGAGCTCCCGGCGGAACGCGTGGGGAAACCTGTCCTACGCCGACCTCATCACCAAAGCCATCGAGAGCGCCCCGGACAAGCGGCTCACGCTCTCGCAGATCTACGACTGGATGGTCCGCTACGTGCCCTACTTCAAGGATAAAGGCGACAGCAACAGCTCGGCAGGCTGGAAGGTGGGGGCGTCCGGCTGGGGAGGGAGGCTAGGGCCGCCGTCTCGGGCTTTCGGGGGCTGCTAGGTGCGTCTGGGCTCTGGGCCACCCCTAGGGGTCACGGAGTGTGCGCCCAGGGCGTGGGGCCGTCCGGCAGACAGGCGAGGGCGTGCTGGGAGCAGCTGTGTGCGTGCTCCCTCGCCAGGAAGGATGCGGGGTGGGAGGTCTGGCAGGGTGACAAGGGACGGCCGCTTTGAGGGGTCCCTGGGGAATATCCCTACCACATCCTGGGTGTGTGTGTGTGTGTGTGTGTGCGCGCGAGCGTGCGCGCGCGCGCGTGTGCGTGATGGTAGGAACCCATGCTGCCCAGGCCACTGACATTGAGGAACCCTCTAGCTCCTTGGAGTTTGCTTTGTGTTACTTCCTTTTATCCACTATACCTGGATACCTTTTTTCTTTTTCTTTTTTCTATTTTCTTTTTTTTTTAAGAGCTGTGGTCATGACTTGGGGCCACTGGTTGCTTTCCCTCCCAAATCTCTCCACTGTGCTTTCTGGAGCTGGCCCAGGGGTGATGAGTACTGTAGGCCGTGTGTCCACAGTTCATTCCCTTCACCCTGGGGCACTAGACCAGCCTGGGGTGGGGAGTGTGACAGGTGACCTGAGATGTGAGTTCTCTGTGGGGCAGGTGCTCTCCTCACCCCTTACCTGGACCAGCAGAGGGGGACAGCAGTGATGACCCCTGCTGGTGGGAGGGTGGGATGCTTAGCACTGGAGATTGATCCCTTCCCACCCTAGGCAACCTGTCTTCCACCTTCTTGGCTTTTTGAGCCCAAAGACATCTAGGGGGAGGGGGAGGGGCTGGGGTAACCCAGGGAGACCTTAGCTTGGGGTTGGGGCATCTTGGAAGAAGACAGGGATGGGGGTTTGACTGGATTGTGGCCTCCTGACCCATCTCCTTTTCCATTTTGTTGGAAAATGGGGGTAGTCTGTGCCTTGGGGGGTGAGGTTGGAGGGGGATTTGTGCCTAGGAGGTAAGCTGCCAGGCTCCCTATGGGAGAGGCATGTCTATCTCCAAGGAAGAGGGTGCAGGGTCCAAGGAAGTGGGTGTGCCAGTGGAGGAGGGGAGGCCTATGGACAGACAGCAGCATTGTGGAGATCTGGGTGTCTTGACTTGGACTCTCAGGTTTTGTGCTGGCAGCTCTTCTGCCTTTCACTGGCCCACTATGGGGCAGGAACACAGACTAGAGTAGACATGAGTCTCCTTCCCCAATCTCCTTTTCTGTCCCCTTGGATCCACCTCCCCTACCCCCAAAAACCAAAACAAAACACAGCTTCCTCTTAAGTGTGTCCTGCCCTTGGGCTTTGCACCCTATCCTCCTCTGCTCCTCTACCCACCCTAGTGTCACTCTAAGGATGTTTCCTCCTCCAGGAAGCCCTCCTTAGCCCTTGTTACTTGGCTTAGGACTCCTCTTTCTCTGGCCCTCACCAATACCTGCAGTGGACATTAGTTACTTGTGTCTCATCTCACTCACCCACTCTCCCTCACCTTTGGAAGACAATGGCAGCATTGGTGTCATTCTGTGGCCACATCACTCAGCACAGAGTCTGGCATCAAAAAGCCATCAGTGTGTGGGAGAGTGGAGGGATGTGTGGATAGTATAGAGGATGTGGAGTTGAGGAGAGTGCAGTGAGCCACAGCAACCCTGAGAAGAGTGCTGTGGACCAGGGCAGCCTCCTCCCCCCCAGGGCTTCATGCTGGAGGTGGAGCTCCAGCCAGACTAGGTGGATGAAAAGAGGTGAAGAAAGATGGGAAAGGGGAACTTAAGGCTGAAGCCAATAGATTGCTGTGGTTCCTTGGGCATCTCAAGGCCAAGCTCTGTGCCAGGCCTCTCACATAACCTTAATGCTCTCAGCAACCCTCAGATGGGTTTTATTTGCTACGTCCAGTTACAGAGGATGAGGTCCAGACTGGAAGAGTAAGCTGCCTGAAGTCACACACTTAGAAGATGGGAAAGCTGAACTCCAATCCAGGGGTTTTACCTTCCAAGGTCCCACCAAGCCTCTGGAACAAGGTCTTGATGGTGTGGAAGGGGATGCCTAAGGCTTTCCAGCAGGAGCAGATATAAATCCTAAAATGTGGTGTGAGTGTTCTTGGCGAGTTCATTTCTCAAACTGTGAGACTGAGGCCTTGGAGTGTGATAGAACTCTTCTGAAGATCTCAGTGAAGAGAGCAGGCCCTGGACAAAGGCCCAGCTCTCCCAGCTGCCCATTGGATGTGGTTGCCACTGCACTATACTGCTGGGGACACACTGATTTTCCCATGCCAGGCTCCAGTTCTGGGCTGGGGCATTAGAGAATAACCTCAGGCTTGAGTTCTGCTCTGGTTAAACCCTGGTAAAGTTAAGCCCTGGTAAAGCACTGGAGGAGACTTGCCCCATGTCCTGTGTCCCCAGACCTCCAAGAGGCTTCCTTGCACTCTCAATTCTGCAGCTTCCCGCCTCTCATCTCCTGATAATCTCAGGTTGACTGGAACTGCAGTACACCTGTGGTAACAGGCCTAGGGCCCATTAGTCCTTCCTTCTTCCCCTCCCCCACAAAAGTGTTGCACTTGACTCCCTGGGGTGTGTGAAAGCCTGCATTCCATAGGGTCGGGAGACCTTGGTCCTGCCTTTTTTCTCACCCAGGCCCTTTGTTTTGAGACAGACTGGGGGTGGGGTGAAGTAGCACCCCCTTCCTAAGGTGGGTTAAATATTCTAGGGAGCTACCCCCTCCCCAAGGTAGGTTAAATATCCTGGGGAACCAGGTGGGTCTTCAAATGGAGGGCTGTACTTAATCTGGGCCGTCTCTGGATTAGGGGAGAATTTGGTTGTTGGCTATACATCCAAAGGCAGGAGGTAGAAGTGTGCATGTTGGATTTAGAAAATGATATGGGTATGCTAGGCTGGAATCTAGAGATTCCTGACTGGCAGGGAAGTGGCATCGGAAAGGTGGATTTAGTAGGATAGGGAAGACCTTTGCCCTGTGGTCCTATCTGTGATGTAGAGAGGTAGTCCAGTGGGGTTTTGGACAGTGGTTGGAGGAGGCAGGGCCAACCGCAGGTTGAGGACACCTGAATCAGACCCAGACCTGGAAAGAGGCTGTTCTGGAAATCCCACCAATGGGGCTGGTCATGTTCTTGGGATGGAGGGTCTCAGGCCTAGATCAGGGTTTGGACAGGAGACACCTCTCCTGTGTTCTAAGAGTATAGAAATCTGGGTAGAGCCTCCACACTCTTTAGATGCTCCAGCTCACTTTCCCTTGGCCTACGACTCCTCCAGGAAGCCTTCCAAGCTGTTCCTAGTCTTGCTGCTGCTTCTACCCAGGGCCTCTGGAGTTGTTCTGCCTCCTTTTGTGTTTCCTGGCTGCCAGCCCCTTTGAGAGCTACCAGGCCAGGTTTGGGCGTTTCCCATTCCTTTCCCCCAGTCCCCAAGGGGAAGAACACCATAGATGGGGACTTCCCTTCTCCCGCAGGCTGGAGCAGCCTGATTGCTGAGGGTGGGATCCGAAGGCCGGTGCCCACCTCCCAGCCCCCCATCTGGCCCAGGTCCTCACCCGGTTAGGTTCCAGGTGGGGTAGGGAACTGAAAGGAAAGACAGGAGCAGGGTCTTGCTACAGACAGTGGTTGTGAGTGTAGATCACCCTCCCCCCCCCCCCCCTCAGTCTGCTCTAGCAGGGCTCCCTCCTCCTCCTTTGTCCTCGGGGATCCCCAGCCCCAAGGGCTGGTGGGGGTGCGGGAGGAGGCGGTGTGAGCCCCGATTAGGGGTGTCCTCACCCCCTCTCACTGCACGAGCTAGGGGCTGGCAGCTGCCCGCCTCCTGGGCACGAGCCCGTGCCAGCCGCTCCTGGCACAGTTGCTGGCACGCCCGGCAGACTCCCACGGCCACCTGCTCACACCCACCCACTAGCGCTGGCGCGCTGCGGGCCCTTCCGGCTTCCCGGGCCTCCCGGCGCCCCTCCCCCGCCGCGTGCCCCCCCCCCCCAGCCCCCTCGCAGTCCCCAGATCCCCGCGGACTCCTTGCTCCCTGCCGGCCCCCCGCACAAGTTGGGGAGCTTTCCAAGAGGGGCCTCCGGGGGCCTCCAGGGTAAACGCGCGGCGGAGGGAGGGGTGGGGGCTGGAAGGCAGGCAGGCAGACAGACCGACAGACAGGGTGAGGGCCCCGCCTGCCACCTGGCGCCGCTCCAGCGGGACGATGGCGGGCAGCGCCGTGCCAGGCGGTAATTGCAGACAGACTAATTTAAAGAGATGAGACGGTTATTTTTAACTCGCGTTAAGGTAATGAACGGCGCGGGGGGTTTGCGGGTTCGAAAGTTCAGCGCCCTCAGCCCCCACTTTCGGTGAGTCCGGGGGTCCCCTCTCTGCAGGCCCTGAGGGCTTCAGCATCAATCCTGGTGGGTGCTGTGGGAAGGGAGGCAGAGGAACAGGGAGGCCTTGGCAGAGGGCCTGTCCCATCAAATCCTCCGGGCCACCCTTCCCGGTGGGAACATGACTCGCCCTGAGGTCACGGACCTCCGAAGTGGAAGACCCTCAAACTCCAGCGCTTCCTGTGCCATTGGGGTGGACTCCGGAGGGGGTGTGTGGGAGGGGGAGAAGGACTTGGATTTGGACTTTGAATGAGGGAGGAGCTTGTTCCTTGCAGCCTGCCTTCCCCTCTTTGGGTGGGGCCTCCGGTCTATCTGAGAGGGCTGAGGAAGGGGTGCTCATGAACTGCCCAAATGAATGGCTGTGAGCCTCTGGGATGGGAGTGCTTCAGCTGTAAAGGGAGCCCTTTCTCATCTTCCCTGACCTCTCAGAACTGACCCACCCACCCCTCCCTACTCCTGTTTGTAGGTCCGCCTCCCACCTGGGGCTGGGCACTTGGGAAGTGGGTTGGGCCCCCCTCTCCCCCTAGATTGGTGCTCACCCCTCCTCCTCCAGGATGAAAGTAGTGGAATAACATGGTGCCCACTTTGGCTGCCCCCACGCCCTTCTAACACACTTCCAAGAG